GAGAAGAACCGGGGAATAACTCGACGTTTTGAATAACTCGACGTTTCAAACAGTGTACTCTGTCCGTCTTCAGTCTCCTGAAGACAGAGTACACTGTTCGAAACGTCGAGTTATTCCCCGGTTCTTCTCAGAACCACACATACTCAAAGAAGAGATAAATACATGGTGTTACCGCAATCTTTACTATAGAAATCTAACTGGTCGAATTGGGTGTCAATGACATGAAGTGACCAACTACAGTGCGTCTCTCATTCATAGCATCACATAGACAGAAAATTTCATTGGCAAACACATTAAGCGTTATCCTTCAGGTTGTAGAAATCATACCCTGACGACTGTTTTAGGCATAGGGACAGGAAGATTTGAGGTATTGTACATGTAAGTTACACTTGAATTTGTGCCACATCTGTCATGTTGAAAAGTTAAGTTTCTTGCAGAAAGAGAGAAGTAATAACTAAATATTTAATCATGTTGATGTACCCATTACTGTCTATGTTATGCACCAAGTCAGTAGAGTTTATGTGTATTTTTAAAGGATAATTTCAGAATTGTGAAATCCTTTCCTTGATAACACAGGAAATCATTGACTTGCTTTTTCCCACGCACATTATACTGATAAATTGTGTGACAGAAAAATCACAATTTTTTGTCGCTATACTGAGATTAACAGCATTTGAAGCTGGAAGTGGTGTTAACTGAACTTCAGATATGTATTGTACACACATGTACATTTGGTTCCTTAGTCATGTGTCTTTCACCTAATTTGCCGTTTCGACTACACTGCCTTCCCTACCGCCTGTATAGTGACATTTATGTGAGACGCATTGGCATTGTGCATGTGCGTGAGCGGTCAGGCAACTGGGGCTGGTCAACGTGGCTGGCCATTGTTGCATGCAATTTGGAATCTTCACCACTCATTAACTGGCAGGGGGCCTAATTTTTCAAAATTCTGTATCAGTATTGTAAAATATTTTTGACCAGAACTTTGCATTATCATTTATTGCAGTCGATCAATTTAGAGCAGCTTGATTTATTCTTGATGATGGAGTGATGTCATGTTTTCATTTACCTCAAAGTTTATAAGTAATATCAGTTGGAATTTGTCAAAAAAATGAATTTTAATGAAGAAGGCAACCATTCCCCCCCAAAAAGTCCAGAAACATTTCCAAAAGAAATCAAGACATAGCAAGTTTTATTAAAGTTCCCAAGCAAAGCCACCATTCCCCTACAAAACAAAAAAAATTTTCTCAGAGCCATAAGAATAAATTGAAGTCCTCCCATGAAAGAATTTAGAGTTTAGTAAAGCCCCCTCCCAAAAGAATGTTTATAAGGAAGGCAATCCACCCCCCCAAAAAAGTTGCAGTCGAGTATCACAATAAATGAATATATTCCAGTTACATTGACAAGTTATTACAAACTAAACTGGATAAATATGTTCACTAGCAGATTTTGAGATTAATTTTATAAATAATTATATACCAACAAAATTTTGAAGATCACTTCCACTGTCAGAGCCAGCTACTGCAGAAAATGCAGAAAATCATACTGGCGGTCAAGATCTCTCAGGGAGATTTATGAAAATGTTTCTTTGATATGATTGTCCAACTGTCATGCTGAAATGGAAAAGCAAGAAAGTTACAACTGAATTTTGAACATAAAGGTATGAGTGGTCTTAACTCGGGGTACAAGTTGTCCAAGGTACAAGTTGTCCAAGGTATGAGTTGCCCACATGGTAAAGTTGTCCAAGGTACATGTGCGGTTCAACTCAAAAGCTCCTGACTGATGGCCAGTTCAGAGTGTGTAATAAATACACAATATAGACCTCCCTAAAAAGAGGAAAACTTAGAAAAAGTTTGAACAATTCTGATCACATACAGACTGTATGTAATGAAAGCTCTTCCTCTTGGGCTGAAATATCACAGAAAAATGAGAAGTTGAGGGGCTATGCAGTTTCAAGTTTAGTCCACATGTCAATATGTGGTTCCAAAGCACGTTCCTTTTGCTGTAACAAAAGAAAAATTTGTGTGTTAGCGTACATGTATTGTAGTCTTCTACACGTATGTGTTTCACTTGTAATTAATGACACATTCCCAGCCATAGTAGTTTTGGATAGAAAATCCCATGTAAAGTTCACACCTCTGCAGATGCAAGGTCAGACCTTTTTAACGCTTTATTTTGTTCCGCCCAGAAAGACACTGACACTCCATTGACTTTGTATACACATGTAACTAACAAGGTGACATTTGTATATTTACATTCAAAAACATTAATTACAGTGTTAGAAAAGTACATTTAGTTATAGCTTGTGTCATTCTAGGCATTAGGTTATTGTGAGTGTGGGCAGCTTTCCAATCCTCTAGGATGCTGGGGAATACCAGAGTGGAATCTCACCACACTTGATCAGTACTTGTATAAACCTCTCAACCCCCTTCCCCCCGAGCACTCCACCCTTCTGTCACATTGTACATGTATACATGAACTTTGCAAAAGTAATTGTGGTGTATCTTTAGTACAAGCAAAAAATCTGTTTTGCAAGTGGCTATCACTACATTTAAAGAAGAAAGTGCATTGTCAGTATACACATACCTGTTTTACATACAAAGTGTGGACAATCGTTTGTTCTCCTGTGATTAAGGAAAAATGCTCCTTTTCTCCTAGGATAACTCCTTTGAGCTGGATTTTTGATAGTGATTCCCTGGAGTGTTCCTCTTCATTTTGCCACGGATAACCTTGACCCCCAAATGCCTCTGAAATTGTTTTTCAGAGAGGGGAAAAACATTGTGTGGACGTGTGCAAGTCCACACTGGGCTATCGCTCCCTACATTATGTGGACTTCTTTTGTGCAGAGGTGCACACTACATGTATATGCACGCCTGCACAGGTACATGTATACGTATATGTACATATACATGTACATGTACCAGGAGGTGTATTACTTTTACATGCTGTAAATGTCTTTTACATGTACATGTACCTTGCTGTAATTTTTGTACAGTATACCGATACATGTAATTAACAAAGACAGATAGTCTTTCAACAAAGGCTACTGGCAAGACTCAGGCAATGAAATTTGAAGGATTTTAGTTTAAATGTCTCCCTTATCAATATTTGGTAAGAGACATGTATCCAGGTATTATGGGCCTGCACACATATTTGTACTTCTCTGTATTATTATGGTATGCATATGGTTTACATATTTTTTTATTGAATAACACTCAGATACTGGTGCTGTCTTCACTTTTGGAAAGAGTCGCTTTGCAGATAACACCGCAAACAAATTTTGGATTCGGAATGACACTGTTACACAAGTGTCTTGTGGGGATGACCACACTGCATTTGTTACAAGTGAGTTCATCATGGACTACCTGTATTTCTCTTATGTTAAGTTAAGACTTTGCTCACATACATGTATGATAATTTTGTGCAAGGTCTCATAATTTTCTTACCAATTTCACATATTTTCATTTGTTAAATTTGTTTTCACAATTCATCCCATGTCCATGTACTTATCCATCGTGCTTGCGGTATCATTTTACTTTACCCATAGCTCTTACTCTATGAAAGGATCACTCCATTGCATCTTATTTGTTAGCTTTGGTGTTCAATATATATGGCAGGTTCTGCAAAATATGAGACATTAGATAATAGTGAATTTGGAGAGTTCTTAATACAGGTACTGTATGTGTACCTGAAGTGAACTGTATGGAGTTAATTTACAATGTCTAGTGACACAAGGGAAGTCATGACCAATATCTGGAACGCTGATGACCATGCCGATCCTTTATCTTTATCAGAGTTGAATAACTGAGGTCTGGCACATCATAATTTTTAATGTACCATTTTATTCATGGCTCATTTTTCTTTGAAGATCTTTTGAGGAGCTTTACGTTATATCTGTGCAAAATATATTGAATTGTCTTTGCTGTTTTGGTTTCAAGTCATCTTGTACAAATATTTTTAGTTTAAATTTTAAATGAGTTCAGCTCCCTTTGATTTGCTCTGATAGTCAACCAAATATCCAAAGTGTACGTGGTCTTTCTAATTATCCCCAAATGATCACTTTTTGTAAATTTGAAGGTGCAACGTTGCATTTTACATGACCACAGTGACTCTTTTAAAGTTTGAAGAATTAGGTTGAGTTGTATTTTAGTTCTTCTTTTGAGTAATATGCCATGTTCATGTTTGTATATGTAAAGTAACAGTACAGAATCAGTCAGTCAGATCAATGTGCCACCTGTCATGCCTGTAGTACTGCCATTTATTCTCAAGTTTTCTTTTTTCAGATAGCGGTCGCATTTTCACATTTGGAGCCAATGAATGGGGTCAGCTAGGATTGGGTCATACTAAATCCACCAACAAACCAGGAAGTGTCAAAGGTGAGCACATACAAATCACGTTTGGATTTTGTATCTTATAAGGGAATAAATATGTGCTTGGCTGGTCTTAAACGTGCGTTTAAGACCAGCTCAAGAGAATGGACGCGACTAATGCCTGAGCCCAGACCGGCCAAGAACATATTTATTCCCATTCATAAATACCTTTTAGTCAGAGAGTCAAAAGGAGTCAATAAAAAATAGTGCTACCCACTGCTTCACCTGACTCGGACCAGCCAGCTGACCCCGGCAAGCTCGGTGGTCGAGTGGTTAAGACGTCTGCACTAGTAAGCAGGAGGTCGTGGGTTCGAGTCCCACCCGAGTGAGCTTGTGAATTTTTTGCAAGCTCTTGGACAAGCACTGAGCACACATTGTTTATCAATATATACGCTTGGTAAGGGCAAAAACCTGTTATATAAATTAACATCTCCTCAATGCAAAAAAATCATATTTTAAAAAAAGTTCAGATTGTTGTAAATTGTTTTTTGGTGGGTCATGTACACTGTATAGTTAATCATTAGAGAAGGGATAAGCAGTAACATATTGAGTGAGATGAAGATGTGCAAGTATGTAGATGAACAATGTAAACAGCAAGTACAAGTAAACAATTGCCTGTACATGTACAACTTAATGTTTGATGCTGTTTGTGTAATTTTGGATAGTAAGATTGATAAGCAGATTAATACATGTACATGGAAATCAAAACTATTGTCTTATTTTGTTTATTTTCTGTGTAGCAATAAGACACTTATTTAATTTTTTCAGCATTAAGTGTGACATGAGATGCTACGTGGAATTTGTCATCATGCTTGTTTTTTTTGTTTCAGTTCTGAAGCACGAAGGTGTGGTGATGGTTGGATGTGGTCGTTTACACACCATAGCATACACCCGAAATGACAAGTTGTATGGCTTTGGGGGAGGAGGGGAAGGGCAGTTGGGTGTGACAAGTTCTAATGGATTTGATGCACCTGAGGAGATTAAGGAACTCAGCAATTTCAAAGTTAAAATGATATCATGTGGCACCGAACATTCTGCTGTACTAACCAGTAAGAGTTCATTTCATTTGTTCATTTTTTTAAAGTTAATTTATAATTCATCAGTATATGATTTCTTCCAATTCTATTGACTGTTGTGATGTTGGTCATCTTGTTGGTGTAATAAGCTGACTCACTGATGACTTGGTTAGCCAAGGCTGCATTTTAGTTAAATTTAAATGTTTTCAAGCAATTTTAAATTGGATTATGTTCAGAGTGCATGGCCCCAATGCTGAAAACTTCGATATCAAACTTTTACACCATGCATATTAGTTTGTGTTTTTATTTCCAGCTGATGGCAGCCTGTATATGTTTGGCAGTGGTTCTGAAGGGCAGCTTGGCCTAGGTGATACTACTGAGACAGACATTCCAAGACCATTAACATTTGGAATTCCTGTCAAGCAAGTGTCATGTGGATACTACCACACAGCTATAGTTACAGGTGTGTTATTGGAAATTCTGTCCAAGTAATGATCGGCAATCTCAAATTTAACTAAACTGTGAAGAGTATACATATACATGTAGATGATTCACAGTACCGTGAACCACCGAAAGGTTGCCATGAAAAGGCTTTTTTCCCAAGTTAGTTGACAGAAGCATGGCAATTATCAATGATTATTTGTAAGTTTTTTTAAGTTTTGGAACTTGTAGAAAAGTAACTTCTGTTGCTTCATCAAAACTATCCTGATGCGCTATACTCGAATACACTTACAAATCTTCTACCCAAACAAACAGGAAAAATTCAAGTTGCCTTAATACAGCCAACAGAAAATGTGTCAGTGTTTGAACTGCAAAAGTGGGCTTTATGTTAACCACTTGCTAGTTCTCTATATTGTGAGTCACCTGTATTAATGATAGAATATGAAGTTCATTATTTACAGGTGCGTTAATTAACCACATGCTGCCAGGGAACCCGATTTCGAGTACCTTGGGTTTGTACGCATAGCCGGGGTGCCCAAAATCGGACAAAATAAATGTAGCTAGGCCTTGTATCAAAACACTGTACTTGGAAAAAAAGACCATGCTGCTGGGAATTGCCAACATCTTTTCAGTTGTCAATAGTGGAGGAAATCTGCCATTTGCTTTGAAAGATTACACTACTGCTCATAGTAAACGGAAGATGATCACCATGGTAACACCGTTACTGTTGTAACGGTGTTTGATACATGGTATGATCAAAGTGTCTTAATCTGCACGATGCATGATACCAGTACTTAATCCCTGCCGATGTCATAAAAATCTCTTATCGTTCATCAGGCCAATAACTACACACTCAAAAACTGCAACTTATTGACATTGTTAACAGAACTTTTTATAATTCCCCTGGTAATTGGTACAATGAACCACTTACGGCTTTGTTGTGATTCTTTGGCTTTTCTTCAATAAAGAATGTACGTGTACTCGTACATTTATTAACTTGTGAAACTCGACGTGTCAATGTTGGTTACAGTGTAAAGGAAGAAAACTATGCAGCTCCAACATTCCTAAAGTTCCACTAAAGCTGTTGTCAGTAGTAACCTTGTGTTTACCAGATCTTACAAAATTATTTTCAAAATGTTTAACTTTTAATTCAGACTGATAGGATCAATGAAAGTGACGACACTTTCCCAAGATTTGGATCGTTTCAACAAGTCCCTAGTCGCTTCTAAAGTTTCTTCGCGTATGAAGATAAATCAAGAGAAAAATCAATTTTTCATGCAGAATTACACTGAATTTTGATTGAAGAATTTCTTGGTTTGAAGGAAACTGCTTCATTTATCCAAATTCCAGTAAATTAAACCGAGAGCTTGCGTAAACTTTGAGTAGATTTAAACTGCCCAGTTCGTTACGAGCTATACCACGTGCATGCGAGCCCCATGAAACCCCACCACGTCACACAAAACCTGTTACGCACATGTAGTTGAGTTTGCCACGTACAGGTATGTGCATACAATGTACAGGTTTTTCCTAAGTGATTTTTCCTAGTTCTGGATCGCTTGAAATAAAAACGTACCTCGTTTGTGTTGTTTTTCAGTTCTACATTTTACAAGAGGTGCTGTTTGAATTTGAATTGTAGCTGTTTCTTGTACAAAATTCGTTCTCAGGAAATTTCTAGAACAGAAATTTTGGCCAGCTTTCTGATTTGCACTTCGACGGTTTGTTAAAATTGATCAGAGGAGCTAAAAACTTGACAAAACTTTACAGGGCGATAGGTCACGCACTACGTGCCATTCAAATTACTTTTATCATACTCGAGATTCATATTAACGTTTCCACATAATGAAAATGACTTTTTGAGTTTCCGCTTTTTTAATTTGGTCGAAAGCTGAACGCATTTTATGGATCATTCATTAACATGATTAAGTACATGTAAATACATTGGGGACTCAAATACACGGGCGTAGCAGAAATGTACATGTATGTGACGTAATAGGTTCTTCAACTTGCAGCGGGGGGCACGTATCATTGGTCGCTTGCTGTATATAGCTGAAAAGTCAAAATCCACACAGTTTCTACTTTTTTATTTGAATTCTTATTTGTTGGCCAATTTTTCTCTAAATTAAGAAATATGGGCAGTTCCACGGCAACATCAACCTCTGGGCCAAAATTTCAAACTGGTCCAAATGTGACAAATTACACTGTATATGCCATTTTGAAGCTTAAGGTGTATACTTTCGTGAAACATACTTCATTTCTAACAACATTCAAGAATTTGGCTTTTATATGATACTGAAAAATTGGTTTTAAATGCCGAGAAATTGGGGAAAATATTTCCCCTCTGCAAGATTTTCTGTTTTTTTGACTGATAACAATTTTTTTGTTCCAGTTTTGGTACAGTTTGAAGAGTACCCCAATAAGTAAACAATGAGAGAAATGAATTTTCAATTTCCTTTTGAAATTCTATATTTTGGCTTCCGGGATATTAACAATCCGTCTTAATATGTCGAATAAATATCACCTAACTGGCTGACATGCAGTTAAGTTACTCTTGTTTTTCTCTTCAGTTTTTATTCAGCTTTTACTATGAGTATCCTTGTTTCTCGTTTGTGTTTGTGATTGGGCGTCTTCTTGCTTTGATGAACTCTCCAAAACTTATATAATTGTTGATTCTACTGTCCTTTTTGTGGAACCCTCCGTTTGAGTGCCTACAGTATGTCAGCCATGTCGCATTGCTAGCTGTCTTCGGAAGAATCAACTCTTCTGTTCTTACTAAAGTGGGCCGGCATAGCCACAATATTCAGACCAATTGTGCATTTTTTTATAAAAGCACCAAAATTGGCACAAATGTAGACAGGTACATGATAAACAAATGTAGATATTGGGGCATCTCAAATTTTGTCCCTGATAGCTGTGGCAACGTATCTTACAAAATGGCCGCCAGCAGTTCTAGCACGTGTAATGATATGCCTAATTCTTAACGCCCGGAGGAGAGAGTTTAAATGTATTGATACATTGTTGCTTGCCACACATTACATTGCTGAACAACAGATTTTGTGATTTTGATCATAGTTTTAATTACCCCATTTATTGGCACAATTCCACCAGTTGGTGGCGCCCTCCACAATCTCATTTACTGCATTGTTTCAGTGTATGTACTGACATGCATAAGATACTGTTCCATTTCAAATCCAAAGTAACAGATGTATTTTGAGCAGATGGATGTCAAACTCCCATACATTGCCTATTTTCACTGTCGTGGACCCCTTCAACCACAGTCAAGTACATGTAAGTTAATGCGTTTCTATAGATTTTGGGAGGGTTTTCCCTAATTTTTTTATGTTGGTCTTTGAGAGAATGAGTAATTCCTATGTTTTAGAGAAAATGTCTATAATTAATCCTTGTTTTTAGTTTCGCAGTTAGAGAGTCATGTTAAGTGCACAATATCAATATATGTACAATTTTGCCTATATTTCTTGGCACAAAACCCTTTTTAAGATATTTAATAATTTTCAATTGTATACATATCTTTTACAGTGCACTACAACTAAGATTTTATGGAAGAGTAACTCATCAATAATATCATGTCTAAAAGCTTGGTATTGGTTTGACCCGGAGCATCCTGCCCCGTCAACGTCAGCACATTCAGTTGAGACAAACTGGAAGCTTTGTTTTATTTGCCAAGAGGACAAAGCAGAGTCACTGACATGTCCTTCACAGTCTAGAAGGAAAGACATAGGGAGTGGCTACAAATCACTGGCAAACAATTTGATCAAATTTCATGAGCTCGGCCAACTTCCAAAAAGTCTGAAATTGGAAAGACTCGATAATGGGAACGATATTGAAGTAGCCACGATCGCGAACAATGCTCAGTACCATCAGACATGCAGGCTCAAGTACAACACCACGATGTTGAAAAGAGCAGAAAATGAGAGATCCAGTCAGGGCCAAGATGTACCAGCTACATGCAAGCGTACCAAATTATGTTTACGGTCATCTAGTACCGAGAAAATTTCCCAAGAAGCCCTTTGTTTCTTCTGTGAACAATCGGCAGGCACTGATGATCTCCATGAAGTGGCCACATTCCAGTTGGACAGTAGGGTTCGGGCATGTGCAATGCTTCTTGAAGACACGAAACTACTGGCCAGACTCAGTGCAGGTGACATGGTGGCACTGGAAGCCAAGTACCATAGCAAATGCTTGGCCAGTTTGTACAATCGAGCCAGGAAGGCCAAGTCTAAAGAATCCAAGATCACTAATGTGGAAAGAAAGATATCAGGAACTGTCTTTGCAAAACTGGTCCTGTATATTGAGGAAACACGACTTGATGCAGAGACTGCACCAGTCTTCAAACTGGCTGATCTTGCCCATCTGTACATGTCCAGATTGGAGCAGCAGGGAATTAAACTCGGTGCCCGAGTTCACACCACGCGATTGAAGGAACGACTGTTGGCCCAATTTCGTGATATGCAGGCATACAACAAGGGCCAAGATGTCCTGCTGGCCTTCAACGAGGACCTTGGTGCTGCTCTTGGATAGGCATGTGAGATAGACAGCGACAGTGATGCAGTTCATCTTGCCCATGCAGCACAGGTGGTTCGACGCCATATGTTTGGGGGAACAGAGCCTTTTTATGGGTTCCCAGAAAGATGCCAGGAAGAATCTGTGCCACCACTGCTGCTTGCCTTAGTGAGCATGGTCCTAGAGGGCCCCAGCATTAAAGACCAGATGGCACAGGCAGACACAACGCCTGCAGCACTTGCTATCTCCCAACTGCTGAAATTCAACAGCATTAAGCACAAGAGGAAGCATGACACCACAGCATCCGTCACAGTCAGGCACCGCGCTGAGCAAGAGACACCAGTTCCCACGTACATAGGGCTCATGCTGCATGCTCACACACGAAAGAGGGAATTGGTAGACAGACTTTCCCACTTGAGTATGAGCATCTCCTATGACCATGTTCTCCGGCTGTCAACACAGATGGGGAACAGTGTCTGCCAACAGTTTCAAAGAGATAAAGTA